GAATAATGAAAAAAAATCATCACCGCGCCCGCGTTGTGTACTATACTGTTAGCATGTATATGACTCGTATTCGATAGTGTACAGTGAATATAATTGCAGTGTAAGTATAAAATATACGATTCCACTTAGTTAATTCTCATCTGCAGTGATTGAATTAATTCATCTTTTGTATGTTACTCAAATTAGCATTTTGTTGAACGCAAATTCTAGTGGTCAGTATCCAACTATTGTATTAATGGAAGGAAACATTAACAGTGCATAAGGACTCCAGCACAGTTTCTGAAACTGTGGATGCATTTTCCACTTTTTACTATTGTCTCACTTATTATTAAAACCATATATTACGATTGTTTGAAGATTGTCTATATTCTCCTACATAACAAGGTAGACAGTACATTATTTAAATAGATTTAGCTCTAATTTTGGTAGTTATATTGAGAGAGAATGAAAATGAAATCATAACTCAGTTTTGATAGACCTCGTCGATAAACAAAAAGTAAATGGGAGCATACTGCAATTAGAAATAGATACAGCACTGGTATTTCAGTCAGAGATACTAAAAATCAAATGTTATATTGTAAAAGTATTAGTAAAATTAAATAACGTTATAGTTGTAACTGCAAATTTGCTGGCTGAACATGAAATCACTAAAATAACCCCACTTTATGAATCACTCTTTAATGCTTACATAATATTTGAATGGTCCATTTGCTGAAGAAGTAGTTATTCTATATAAAAACCTAGTTAGCAGTATAAATCTCTGTATTCGAATGAATCAAAGATCAATGTCGAAACATATACATACATATAATCTACCATGTAGTGTAAAGAATGTACATTTATGTTGAATTTAATATTGTGATATTCACACATTGCTGTCATACAGCAGTTGTTCTCGAGGCCAGTGTTCTAAACGTACATTAGAGACCTTTGTTAACTAAGTGTCAAGCATTCAACATATTTGATTTGAACATTATGGAATTTATTCAACAATTCATATGATAGCCTTTCATGATCACTAAATGTGAGAGTATTGCATTATTGAATTTTCCAGAACTAAAACATGAAATGAATGAATTATATGAAATGAATTCCCAAACACTAAGAAATTCCTTTACATTTTTGTACAATGAATGTACAAGGTTTGGAAGGAAGCTCTGACATCCATAGATCGTTTGGCTTTTTTTGGTGGTTACAGACCCCTTCACAAAGGAAAACAGCTCTATTAATTGAAAACATCATCAGTCAAGTTTCGCCAATATAAATATCTACCGCAAGCGAATGATTGGTAAGTTTTACATATTCCATCTCTAAACAATTACAATGTCATTATGTGCTTAAGTTGAGAAGTAAGCAATTACTAACCGAATGTGAGGCATGTAGGGAGGGATGAATATAATTGTTATTCATAATGTGCTTTTCAACTGTAGCTCATATATAATTGTTTCTTGCTAGTAAGATTAATCAATTAGCCATTTGGAAGGCCAAGTATCAATATTAATTTGTTTTACCTATACTTTCTTCATAATTATAATTTGCATGCAGTTTGTTCTGTGAATTTTTAAGATGTTTGGTTTCATTTGAACCTTCATTCTCTTCTTTGCCTCAAACACAGCAATCAGTAGAGTCAAGTTGACCATGCCGAGCAGTATTTTGAAGCAAGTAAGCAGAAAGATAATATTGAATGGATGAATTAGTCGTCATCATCAAAAACATCTGTGTTCCACTATTTACACAGGTTTCACTGTATTATTCAAGTATTTGAGCATTCCGACAGTACACTGATTATACAATAAGTTTGAACTAAATTTTGATCAATTAACCCTATCAAATCACATAAGTTAATAATATTTATTCACAAATTAAACATATTATTGAGTGACATTGGCAAAAACAATCATCATCAGAACCTCTTTAAGCTTCAGTTCTTTCTGTCAATATTTGAGCTTGCCCAAAACAGTATTTCCCAAAGGATCAAATATTATTAGTGTGCTCAAACACTTGGAAATTGAATGCATTCTTTTTTCAAACTTTCTTGTTTCTTGTGAGACGACCAGTATTGTCTGCAACACACATTTGTCATTGTTTCTTAAATACCTATTCTGGGAATTTTTATCAACGTTTTTAAAAGTTTGTTAAATTCTTTACGTTTGTGTGAGATTTTTACTAATTCGTGGGAAGTACAAGTCAAAGTGGTGTGAACTTGGATGACAAAATATAGCAAACAATTTATCAAAGATGCTCGAATTCTTGATTCACAAAATTTCAGGGTGAAAATGAACTGTAATTTATATTTTTTATCTCCTCACTATATGCGTTTTAGCTCAATAACTACCTCAATACCATATAATATACAATAATCTATAAATGATTTGATTGGAAGAAATATTTTGGTTTTAAGCTTTCGAATTATTTAGTTGGGATGGAAAATGATTCTCCCATTGAGTTTGTTTATCCTCGTCCATTGAAAATTTCTTTATGGCTAATATGTATTTATTGCTGCAGGCCCTCAGCTCTGTATTTTTCTCAACCAGAGACTGTTTTAAGATGAGATAAGACCCCAGTAATCATTCGGGTATCTTCGGCAAATTGTCTGCAACATTTTTTCTGCCAACTTCACATCCATCCAAGCCAATCTATTTGACTTCATTGTTAACTGATATATTACGTTTGATTTTAGGTTTCCTCAAGACCTGCGTTTAGAATATTACATCACAGAGATGTATGCAAATAGTTGCAATCGACGCCAACTGCCAGAAAGTTATATGGAATAGATCATTGCCACTCTAGGAGTCATTCTAGAGTAGAGCTAAAGTATGGTTCCTCAATAACAGCCAAATCATCATCATCTCTTGGCACAATTCGTCAAATGAACATCCGTTGGGAATGACCTTATCTTCTACCAACATTAGCAACACTTCGCATTGAGTTTGGCATGAGGTACCTCATCAGAAGCACGCTACGATAACTGTACAAGAATGTATATGGCACTAAGTTAGTTCAAGATATTATTAGTGGATTCTAGCGATACAGTTAATTTTTTTACCTAAAAATTTAGTCACATTTTCTTCTTGCTTACTTCTAACTATATACAAAATTCATTCACATAAGACCATTTCCAATGGGCGCCCTTTTTTGTCACAAAGAATGCTCAAAAACCAAAAAACCATGTCTACAAAATCGAAAAATGTTTAGTCAATGACATGGTACCATGTATGATCTAATCACATTTGCTAAACGTTCTTCCAGGAAAGTCATTTTCTGTTTTGGGGAACATGAAGTTGTTAATGTTTTGACAGTTTATGCCATTAAATATGGAGATTATGTATAAGGAAATGTTATAGTTTGAGCGAGGGTAACTTTTTAGAGATATCGCTACACTATTGCTTCCTAATAATAAAGTTGAAATTGGCATCATGACAAGGCTGGAGTATTTGCGTCATTCTGATAAACGCGTTTAATTGAAAATATCGAAGACAATCGATCCTATGTAAAAAGGTAATATAGAAACGATTTTGGGGCTAATTAAATGGTCCATCATTTTGCTTTTGTAAAAACTTATATTGGTGAACAGGTTACAAGATAATTAAGGGTAAAGGTACATGTAATGATATTTTCGGTTATAATGGCTAAATGCCTAAGATTAGTACAACTGGGAAAAGCTTCTTCTTGTAGATTGTTCCAGAATCTCGACACCATCGGGACCAAGGAGCAGTCGTATCGGTACAGAGGTATTCCTTAACGCGTGTACAATCACTTGTCGGACAGAAGTTATATACTGAATTCAACAACTTCCGGTATAAGCATTTGCCACGGCCTCGCTCAGTAGGGGAGTATTGCTGGGTGTTGCCCCTTTTCCAAATAATTTCAAACCACCAGTCAACAGAGAGGATCCACTTGTCAAATATATTAAATAAAATGCTGGTTAAATTCTTTTATAATACAATATTTTATAGTAATTGTTTTCAGTATATCTAGATTAACCACTCTAAAAATCTTCATTTCTGGCAATTCTACCAATAACTAATTTTTTTTGGAAGCTGTATTAATAAATAACACATATCCCTATCATCAATATGTATTTGATGATGAATTATGATTCTTATATATTTTCCACGAAGAAAATGTCTAATGAAATCATTTTTGTCCTTTATCAGCACATGCAATCCTAATTTAAAAAACAAACTTTGATTTCTATCCAATACTATTCACTCAAATCTATCAGCAAAGTTTAAGGATGTCAAAAAAGCAGTAGATCAATTAAGTCAAATATGACTTTACAGGTCATTTTTGGCTGCATATTCGTGTAGTTTACATAGATTGCATACCCAGTATATGTACTTATAACATTCCCCAACAATTTTATGGTAGGTTACAAGTTTGTAACATAACATTAATGGGATATTCAGGAGCTACCTCACACTTCCCAGATATGTTATTGATGTTCTTGAAATGTTAGTTGTACATAATGGGAATGAAAAATGATTCAAGAAGTATTCATTTTATTTTAAAAAAATAAATTAAAAGTAAAAAGCATACATATTACATTATTTGATTTAGAAACATTTCGATTGCTGCCGGCGAAGCGGAACTCCAAAGAGCCGCCTGAAATGCGGACCTACTAGAAATCAGCAAACAGATCCGTTTCATACGTAATTGACTACGTTTTATACAAAAAAAATATACAGCTTGTCGACCTTCATGGATACACGACCTCTGTGATAGTTGATAAATTCTCGCGCCCTCTTGAAAATTGTCAGTGATTTTAAAGATTGTGTGTAACGAAATCACAAGGACTCTGCAAGTAGTAATTTTGCCAAGTGGGAGACAATCCATAGGATGCCTTTTCCACCAAATAAACAATTTTAAGATCAAAATTCCAAAATCGACCCAGTTGGTATCTCTAAAGCCGGCTCTCAACCCATAAAAATGGAACGGGCTTTGGCGTTAGCCACCTATATTGGTATTTTCTTTCATTCATTTGCCTGTAGACGTTCCTGAAAAACACCAGGTGTAAATACTTATAAACATGAGTATATATACTCATATATAAGTAATATACATATATTTCTACAATCTAAACTGTATGTAACTCTTTATAACTACAAATGGAGGTCCTGATTTTTTTGACCTCTCCTTGGCTCTGATTAACCATCTCTTAATGATGCTAATGCTTCCATACTCCAACATGAAGGAATATGGTCGGCATCTAAAAACATAGAGTTATTGGTAAATAATTGACATACATTTAGGGTTGCCAGGTTTAAATTTGAAAATTGCAGAATGTCGATTTCCAAGGGGAGGAGCTGAATATGAAGGACATTTTTCATTAGACTAATGCACAATTCATATACAAAAGGAGTTATTTTTTGACAATGCATACAACACAAGATCAGAGACTTTTTATCAGACTAAACAGTTTCCGACCACTGTTTATTTTCCATACTTTTTTTGCACCCTTAGTTTCAATGTGTAGCTCTGCTTTGATATGGTCGATCAACATGAAAATTTGAGCTGTCACATCAGAAGTTGCAACATGAAGGAAAAATAGTTTTTTCATCTAGTAAGTAGCCGAACCGAATTAAAAACGTTAAGAGCAATTTGTAATTTCAATATTTTTTTTATGAAAGTAAGTCTACTAAATGTCCTACGCCTAAATTCCTGCCTCAAATTCAGAACTCCCAATACAATCCAGGTTACCCTACGTACAATATAGTTATAGAAGCTGTAAAATGAAAATTGTTAATACCTACGTACCTAATGCACATCTGGCTAGGAGTAGTTTTTTGGATTGCAGCTATTGTTTATGACCATCCCAAGAATAACTCATTGCTAATCCTCCTGAATTCTGACACCTAATAAGAGAAAACCAATTTCAAATATTAATTTTAAAAACTTTTTGTACACACTTATTTACTATATTTCATACAAGATGTTAGCAATTTAAATTTAGAACCAGTGCATTGTAATTACTTTTCAATCTTGCCATTCTTCTTCAAAACTTTCAAATTCTTCCTTAGAAGACAGTGGCAGTGAATTATTGATTTCCTTATATTGGTTTAAACTAGTGTTAACTGTATAGAGAATTCATTGCTATATTAGGATTTTAGAAGTTATTCATCATGATATATCAATCTTGATGTGATTGAATCTTTGTGTTTGATACTACAAAATCGTATTTCCATCTTCCTGAAATATTTTTTTTTTGAGAAAATCCTGATGAAGCTATTAAACAATGACAAAAAGTTGATTTATTGAAAGTTTCTTTTTCTCTATGGCTGTTACTCTATGGTGGATTGTGACAGCAACCTCAATATTTCGTCACCTAGCAAGCTTTGTTTTTTTGGAGATTGTACAATTGAATGGTACAAATTGGTACAAAGTTCCACAAAAAGAATGAATCATCTTTATGTCAGAGATATTATCAGACTGCCTAAGTGACTATATTTGAGATATGGCTGCCCAGATTCTTAAAGTAGCTAATAGAATCCTAGCATTCTATTGTCCTCAAATTTAGTGCTATGATTACCTGATTTAGGTAGCATTAATTGTGTACAGCAAATGTGATTGACCATATATTTCTTTTGAATGTGCTAGGGGTGTACAGTGTTTCTAATGACTGTATTAGCACTACAACAGGTAAAACACCGCAACCCTGGTACTAATGGGACTTGATGTTTGATATCTAGTTCAGATTTCATAGCTTACAGATACAGACCATTTACATGTAATATTATCAGCAATTACAATAAATCCATATAGATAGTATAAATATCACTTTAAAAATGAATCTTTCATTCATCTGAAGCAATTCATTTGAAGCAACTTTAGACAATTCTTTCAATATCTTAAAAAATGTTTACCTGAAATGCAGAGAAAACTGTGCATTCTACATCAGAGTCGGAAGTCTCTGACGCACCGATATCATATTTTTGGTTCTTTCTAATCATTTTGTTTTGAGATATAATATTTCCATTTCCAGATTAAATATTTGGTAGTTTTGGCTTTCTCCACTTTTGTTTTTTCAATATTAAAATCCCCTGAAAAAAAATTGTTCAGCTACAGCAAATATCCAAACTCCAACTTTCCAAATTGTTATAATCCTAAAGACTACTGAAGATATGATTGCTTACCATTTCCACCCAATGAACATAATTCATATATTTCCCAGTATATTCATCAAGATCATCCTAATCATCTATTAACTTCAAAGTTTTCATTCCTCTACTAACATTCTACTACATCTTCTTTTATGAAGACAATAATTACTCAAATCACCATTTTCTTTGATCCTCATTTTCAACCCTACAACCAAAACATATACTATAATGCTTCAAGTAAAAATGAAAATTACTCTTATTCATTCATCTCAAGAAAACCATCTTTGGACGCTCTTTGTTTTACAATCAAATAATGCACATTCAGCAAAAAATTACCAGATAAATTAAAAGTGATACATTCGTTCAACGTTGGCATGAAATTAGTTTATAAAATACTTTGGGATTATAGTTTGCACTCGATATGTTTTTGTAATTATTTCAAGTAACATCTCAATAACATAGTGCTGAAACATGATTTTTCAAAATATACTACCTACGTCAAAAGCTATATATTAAAAATACTCATACACTTTTAATTCCAAGAAAAATAAGATAAATGTGATCAACAATTATAGTGGAGAAAATATTTCGACAAAAATGAATTTACACATTCAACAGGTTCTGTTAGAAATGACTTAATTTAAGTGTAGGTATTAGCCATAAGCCCTATGCTTCCAAAATTACTCATTTTGATAATTTTGTGGTATACCAACATAAAGGAGTCTGCAAGTATGGAACAAATAATGAACCAATAACCTTTGAAATTGTTTCGCTTTATACTGTGAGGAATTACATCCTGGTACAATAAGTTCACCATTGTGTTAAAATACAGTAAATCCTCTTCTACAACTTGTGTAGGTGAATAACCCTGTACGACGATTGATACCAAAGATATTTGATTCATTAGTAGTATCACATATGTTGAAAAACATTACATTTACCATTCAAAATAAATCTATAATGGTGTAATTCAGAAATCCCTTGCACTAAATCATACGAAGCCCCTTTGGCTTTCACTGCACGAACTCAAACACAAATCACAAAAAACAGAAGCATTATTACAAATTATATTATTAACTATTTACTCTTATAAAAATTATTATTACTTGAAGAAGAAATCACGGAACCATGGAACCATTGTAAGACAGGCTTCAAGATCCTGATATTAGTGACAGATGGCACGTTATGACAGCTGCCAGTCAGTTAAGAAAAAAATTTCAAATTTATTTCCTTTTAACATTGTCCTGTAAGAGAACAATGGCCTTAAATCATGACACAATTATTACATGTATTTTAAAAAATAAGTATATTCACTTACCTTCAGAACCACATCAAATAAAAAATAGGAATGAGTCATCACAGATCAAACATTTTCGCAATGCCTCACATCCAGGCGCTGATTTGTATTTTCTATTGACATCGCAAAATAAGTTTTTATAAAACTTAAACGACTGGAAATAAAGAAATAATGTAATAACCTTTTCACTTTCATAAATATTCCTGTCTGTAGAGTATCTTCTCACCTGTTACTTCACCAACCCGCGATTTTCTTTTCTTATCTCTCTCAGTTTTTGAAATTCAGCAAACTAGCATAATATAATTTCCAGGTTCAATAATAAAAAGTGGATGCGCAACTAAGTTCTACTTTTGAATACATCTCAAGTAAGTCTATTTGAGACAAGAAACCAATGGAATTACCATTAACACATATTATTAGCACGCACATCCTCACTATGTACCTATGCACTGCCTTTTCCTTCCAAATGTAGTCTATAGTATAAAAGTTACAGCTTAGATCTAGAATATAATGCCATCTCTGAAGCACTAGATACATCACATCATAGCCAAACTCACAGATCATGACGTTTAGGCAACACGTACACCTACAAACGAGTTCACGACTAGTGTGAATCGCTAGTACTAAGTCAACGTCTTAGCGAAAAACTTGCATAATGTCAAAAAAAACAGCATAATGTCAAAAAAATCGGTATAATGTCACTTTTAGAGTTACGTGATACCCTTGCGGAATCAACTTTCATTCTTCCTTTCAGTTTAGTTATGGTAATATTCATGCTTGTTCTTGTAGCATGTTTGTTGATTTTGACTGGTTTTATTGTTTTATGACAAATAGACGAGCTCATCTGTGAAAAACTACAATACTTTATGATTTTTAAAGCCACAAAATCATCTTTAATTGCAAAGAGTCTTGAAATTTTGAAATATCAATGCAAATGAGATATTTACAAAAATGCAAACTTCTTACTTACTAGAATAAGCCCACGGCTTTGCCCGCACGATAGTCAGCTATTCGTTAATTGTTCAACAGCTGAATCGTAGTGCAAAATCCACATTGAGTTATCAAATAAAGCCGACTACAATTTTCTCTGAATAATAAGTATAACTTAACAAATCTTCATGGGATTTCGTATCTCAAGGCAATCGGACAAACTTACTTGAAGTAAAAAAAAAATTGAAAATCACCCGAGCGGGGTAGAATGAAAGCTCAAAGGTCAACCGCTTGAGCAAACCGAGCCATTTGACATCCGTTCCGAAAGAGGCAAGGACCTAATAAGGCAACCAGAGGACGATTGAAAATGACTATTTTCTGATAAAAAGCGTTATTGTGCCTTGTTTATATGCTTCCGCGGATTTTTTAGTTCTTTTGAAGACCCTTATTTTTGTAGTAGTAGCATTTAAGTATGATCCACCATTTAGGCAGCGTATGCAGTTAAAGTAGAATCATCGTGATTTTTGAAAAAAATTTTCAATCGAGCAGATCGCTGTATGTATTGGAGGTTCAAAAATTCATAAACCATTTTACTCACGATTATTATAACAAGTGAATGAGATCTTGTGAGCATAATACAAAAATTAAAATTGTAATAAAGAAATCAAAACTTTATACCCATATTTTCCCAATTTTTGTTTATTAACATACTTGTATCTCAAAGTTTGTCAAGGTTATTGTGGAAAATATTGTTACCCGAATAAAATGTGTATTATTTAGAATGTGTAAATCGGACACTCAGAGTTGATAATACCACCCTGTTCTGTCCGGACACCTCTCGACAGCCGTTCCGCCGCCCGGCTGCGGTCATGATCTGATCACGCGTTGCACCAATTAGGTGATACATAGGGAGAGAGGGAGCTATTTACTTCGACGAGGACTTCACATAATTAAGATCGAACATCACTTACAGGTAAGTTCGTTTAATCGTGTAATTATTATGCGAAAAATGGGTGGTCACCATTGTCTTCCAGTACAGGGAGAAAATCGTTTTAACTTTCAGACCTTTAATGAGTTTTCCCTTTCTCGGAGATTCTTCTTCAAAAAAAAATGAATGAATCCAGCAAAATGCTTCGAGGCTACAGCAAGTGGGGGAGCCGCAACAGAGACGTCGATTTCAATTCAATGGATTTAGCCCGAAAACATTCAGTTCTTTTGTAAAACCGAGGATTTACTTTCGAAAAAATAATGATGTAACCGTACCATTACAATATAAAGCCGGATTTTTTGTTTTCCTTTCTTACGGATTCTAGAACATTTGAATGGAGATTAAAGCCCTACCATTCAAAAAAATTGTCCAGTAGTTAAAGTTTATAATGGAATGAGGTACAATAAACCTTATGGCAGCAGTGCCATCCAGCAGAAAAACATTGGGCACCAGTTATTGCCCTTATCAGAATATACTAATAGTAGGGTCGTTCACTCCTGTTGGAAGTATGTGCAATTAAGGGCCGACTTTAGAGTGTTGTGCGGCCTAGGGCAAAGGATGGAATATGCAGAGCCTCTTCAAATTTCCATTTGGTAAGCGGACATTGTAGAAACAATCCCTTTGCGATTTTGGTTTGTTGTTTTGTACCCAGATGAGGTCTGTCTATGAGTTTCTGCTTTTTCATAGCTTTCTTGTACGCTTGTCCCAAAAGGTCACTTTGCATAACCGCTTATAGCACAATCTTTTCTATTTTCTTCCTGATATTCTGAAACCATTTATATTCAAGCAGAGTATTATCTCTTTTTGTATGATATTTCCTGTTTTCAGGTGTTATTTTTCTTCTAATAGTAAGGCATTATTTTCTCTTTTCTGCTACTTCTGTGTTCCACCAATACTTTGCATCGGTCACTTTACAAATTTTGTGGCTCAACCAAAGGTGTTGTCACATGCTATCGTAACTACATAACCTTGGACTCTGTCATTGTAATTGTCAAGATTTGTATTCCATGGGGCTAGTTGCATATTTTCGGAGAGTGCTTTCTACTCGATTTATTTTCCACATGTGGATCTTGGGGCTCCGTGGTTTGTCAGGTGTTACTTCAAACATAATATACCGATGGTCGCTCATACTTTCGGCATCGCGTAATTTCCAATTTTTGATTTCACCAAAATTTGTCTCTAACTTGCCGACGCTAGACCGATTTTCAAAAACAAAAAACATGTTTGTCCTTGGATTAGCACGAACCTTGTATGGAAATGTTCCAAAATCGTATTGGTGCTTTCCAAGTTATAAGCGTACCAAGGATTATGAGGCAAACAGACACACATAAATTAAGGACTACCTCGTCAGTGGTGTGGGAAGTCAAACGAACTATATTCCTCAAAGACCGCACCAACACAGCTAATTTTTTTGCGTTCTACTGAGAGCTGATGCGTGCATTTTCATCCACGTCGCTCTCGTGCAAAAAAGATGCAAGTGCCTTTCGTAAAGTACAAAGGTTCAATAAAGAATTTTGGAACAATTCCTTTGACGTACAAAGCTAGTCCCTAGCGCGGCTGCATAAACAGGGCTACTTCAGGAACGGCAGGTCTTTGAGTTGAAGGGTGGCATTGTGTAGGAAGCATACATAGGCAGACAGCTCGTTTCATACTTGAAAAGGCGGTTGCGCATCCATTGCATTTTACGAGAGCTAAACTGAGTGGATAATTATTACGCTAAGCATAAGTAATGAAAAGTGGAAGCGATGAATACCGCGTACTTACTACAAATGTTGACACAATGTAGCAAACATGTCAGTCGAATACACCATCAGATTCTTTTTGACTGAATAACTGACTAATCTGATTTCCTACAGAACATAATATGTTATTTTGGTTATGCTCACGTTATCCCAATGCGCAATTTCAATAAACCGACCTCATTTGCAGCACGAAAAATGAAGGCAGAGCTGGAGTTGTGATTTCTGAGATATGAGCAATAACTCTAATCTCTGTAAATCTGGTCAGATAAAATAGATTTATCGGGCAGAACTAACAGCCATACAGTTTTCTGAAGAAATCAAGTATTCCGGGGACATTAAATGAGTAAATCGCTCTCTTCTCCAGCTATCTATCAAGACTTTAAGATCAGCGCTATAACCGGCCAAGCTAGATTGAGGGTAAAGACTCTCAGAAAGCTGGAAAACGAAAACAAGATAGGCTTGCTTGCCTGACACAGAGGAAATAGGGATTTCAATGAAATAGTGAAATAGTACAAAAAAGTATAATAAATCACCAATGGGTTTTTGTGGAAGGACAATCAGTCCTTGAAAGACTGGAACATGAAAAAGTCATTCAGGGTCGTAAAACGACAAAACTGTTCATAAAAAACCAGATGCTTGCATTCACAGAAGACCTGTTTATACTTAAAGGAGGATAGCGATCTTCTAATAGAGCACTGTTGACGAAATCCACGTATGAGGCTTCTCGTAGACAGATTTGTTTCTGCCTACAATCTGTCCAGCTACAACCAGCGCGCCATCTTATGATGTTTTTACGTACTAGCTACATATGAATGTTTACCTTTCTATCAAGATACCTTCTTTGCCGGCGTTTATCTGTT